TAAAATTGATTCCATTTTTTATCAACGTGACACCAAAATAATTAATCGGGGGAATTTTTTTACGAATTTGATATGATTAAAAAAAAATTTTGCGCTTTAATTGGATTCCAAACAACCTCTTGTATTCTTATAGGTTATATTGAATGATATACTAAATTATAAAAATAATAATGTGAAAAGACCAAAGAGGAATATAGTAAATTAAAAATATAATGGGAATAATTTTTAATAAGGTAGCGTACGTCCACTCAAAGAAAATTGGCCCAGGCGTAATAATTAAAGCCAGTTCACAAGCCAAATAACCTATTAAGCTCGCAAGCTGAACAAGTTATCCATAATTATGAGGAGCTTGAATAATAATAATAACTCGGGATTATTTATATTAAAATTTTACAACAATTGATTATGTGTCGAACTAATATCTTTAAATATTACGAAAGATAGCCTTAACTAATTTACACACTTGTCACAAGACTCCAGGGCAGTCTTTGCAGTTAACCAAACACATAATGACTCATATGGTGGATTTTTAGTGCCTCGTTCATTTCTAGAAGACAAGTCTTTTTTTTCGAGATATTTCGTTTTTTAATTTCATTGTATATAAAATTAAGAATTCAGACAATTGAAAATACAAAATTGTGGCTTTGACATGTGTATATATATATATATATATATTAATTATAGACGAGAGATATTTTCAACTAAAAAATAATAATTTAATTTACATAGGCAATCCATTCTGTCTGTATCATTGAAATCCAGCTTACATTTCTGAAGGTTTAAGTTTACGCTTTTCAAATTTCTTATTTAATTCATCAACGACTTTTGTTACTTTTCTCTTGACTATCTTTAGAAATAGTTCTCTATCATTCATAAAAAATATTTTTACAATATATTATTGGGTGTCATCCTGGTAATAGTAGATTAATTTACTAAATTTGATCCCTGTAATTCCACTTAAAGCTCTTCAGGAGCTGGCTTGCGAGCCAGATAACTTATCCAGCTTGCGGGTTGGCTTGTGAGTTTATTAAGTTATTTGGCTTGTAAGCTGGCTCATGTGGAGCCTTAATTCCATTTTGATGATGTAAATCAGCTATTTTTTATATGGTTGGTTCGGTCTAAAGACTAATTTTAAAGTATACAAGTCACTTCTGTCCTTACCTTTTAAAAAAACAGTTTCAAGTTTTAATGTAATAAATGGATTTCTCGAAAAATTATTTGTTGTGGAGTTCTATTCTTTAATACATGTATTTTTTTTTTTGCTCTGTACATTTTTTATTTTATTTTTTAATTTTGTACGGAACGGAATTTGTGAATTTTGAAAAGTTGATTGATGGGCCAGTCTGCACGATCTTTTATTCTGTATTTTTTTTCATACGGAGCATTTTTTACTACAGAGGCACAGATTTACGGAATACGGAATCTCTATAGACTCATTAAAAGTTGACACTAGAGGTTGGGACCGGTTTTAATCACCTTTTCAAATCAGAATCGGTTTTAATTTTGTGGGGGTATCTATCAAATGAAAGCGAAAGTTATTTAATTATACTAAATTGTAACAACAATTTCTGCGAATATATATTTATGCCTTACTCTCAAACTATCTTTTACTGTCATTAAACAATTCTATATTATTGTATTCGTGTAAACATTTAAATAAATGTATCATCATCTTTCGAATTTACATATTGTGAAAATAGTAATAGTGATTTAAGGATCACGAAAAGAAAA